ATTCTTGAAAACTTAAAAGTGTGGTTTTGAACTCTATATCCGTGAAGTTTGCTTTCCTCCATTTCTGTCATTTGTGTCCTGTTTCTTTGTCTCCGCATTTTTTATGCTTCCCTGTATCGATAGAGTGGCTTTCTGTGCTAGGTGTCCTATAGGGCCCAGTGGCTCAGCCTCCCCAATTACCTGAGGTGGACACTCTTGGTGCACCCCCTTGTGGACTTTGTGCACAGTCTTGTTGTAGTTAAGCCTTGATTGTTGTAGGTAACTCTGGGAGGGATTGACCTCCAGGCCATTTGGCTGTGAGAATCAGCTGTGTCTGCAGTGGGAGAATTCTGTGATGGAGACACCCCTCCGGGGCAAGATTTGCTTCAATGGGCTTTGGTGCTCACTGAGTCTGCCCCCTGAGTGTGTCCTTTATGAATCCGAGGAGCTGCAATCTGGATGATTCCACTCCGACCACCGGGGATACTGGCTCCTGGATCTCTAAGGAGGTGCTAATCTAGCCTCTGCCTGAGGCTATCCAGCAGGAACCAGCTGTGACTTGCCCTGGGGCCTTGGGCCAGCTGCAGTTTGTTAGGTAATTATCAGATTGCAAAGGGCCAGGCCTTTCATATGCAAAAGCCTCGTGGCTTGGGCGGGGCGGGGTCCCAGGGGATCAACAGGGCGGAGCGAGCAGTTATGGCTGCTTTCAGTCCTGCCCTCAGAGGCCCTGCTTCTCAGTGTCCTGTCAATCGCTGCAAGCACCCCCGAGAGAAAGCTGCCCTCGAGTTCCGACCGATGCCAGGCAGCCCAGTTTCTCCCGTATGAGTCTGGGTCCCCAGAGACTCGCCCGGAACTGGAGCTCAGAGCTTGAGACTCCCTCCCGATGGAAAAAGACAAACGTGTTCTCAGCCGCCAACCCTCTCCGCATGCGCCTCTGTACCTCTGTATTTTACTTCCGCACCGCACCTCCTCTGAGTCTCGGTATGCTTTTTTCTTTCCTTCTAGTTGTAGAATTTCCACTCAGCCAGCCTTCCTGTGGTTCTGGATGATGTGCGTTCCGTCTTTTAGTTGTATTTTTGAGGTGGTTCTGCAAGGCAGCAATCTCCGGTGTTTACCTATACCACCATCTTGGTTTCTCCTGGGTTGTGTCTTTTTCCATAAGTCAGTATTTATATGTCATCAGTTTAATATTCAAAATGCTTTCCCCTCATATTAATATGCAACATCTTTTTTTTTCCTGAACTGTCTTTTTTTTATTTTTTTATTGCTTAAAATATTACAAAGAGTATTACATATGTTTCTTCCCCCCCCCCCCCTTGACATTCCCACAGCCTCCCCTACCCCCCAGTGTCCTGTGTTCATTAGTTATGCTTATATGCATGCATACAAGTCCTTTGGTTGATCTCTTATCCTCCCCCTTCCACCCCCCAACCCTCCCCGGCCTTCCCGCTGTAGTTTGACAGTCTGTTCGATGCTGCTCTGCCTCTGTATCTATTTTTGTTCATCAGTTTATAATGGTCTTTATTATCCATAAATGAGTGAGATCATGTGGTATTTTTCTTTCATTGACTGGCTTATTTCACTTAGCATAATGCTCTCCAGTTCCATCCATGCTGTTACAAATGGTAAGAATTCCTTCTTTTTTTACAGCAGCATAGTATTCCATTGTGTAGATGTACCAGTTTTCTAATCCACTCATCTGCTGATGGGCACTTAGGCTGTTTCCACATCTTCGCTATGGTAAATTGTGCTGCTATGAACATAGGGATGCATATATCCTTTCTGATTGGTGTTTCTGGTTTCTTGGGATATATTCCTAGAAGTGGGATCACTGGGTCAAATGGGAGTTCCATTTTTAACTTTTTGAGGAAACTCCATACTGTCTTCCATAGTGGCTGCACCAGTCTGCATTCCCACCAGCAGTGCACGAGGGTTCCCTTTTCTCCACAAACTTTCCAGCACTTGTCGTTTGTTGATTTGTTGATGATAGCCATTCTGACAGGTGTGAGATGGTACCTCATTGTTGTTTTGATTTGCATCTCTCAGATGATTAGTGACTTTGAGTGTGTTTTCATATGTCTCTTGACTTTCTGTATGTCCTCTTTTGAAAAGTGTCTATTTAGGTCCTTTGCCCATTTTTTTGTTGGATTGTTTATCTTCCTTTTGTTAAGTTGTATGAGTTCCCTATAAATGTTGGAGATTAAACCCTTATCGGTCATAACTTTGGCAAATATGTCCTCCCATACAGTGGGCTTTCTTGTTGTTTTGTTGATGGTTTCTTTTGCTGTGCAGAAGCTTTTTATTTTGATGTAGTCCCATTTGTTTATTTTCTCTTTAGTTTCCAATGCCCTAGGAGCAGTATCAGTGAAGAAATTGCTTTGGCATATGTCTGAGATTTTGTTGCCTATGGAGTCTTGTAGGATTTTTATGGTTTCCCGTCTTACATTTAAGTCCTTTACCCATTTTGAGTTTATTTTTGTGCGTGGTGTAAGTTAGAGGTCTAGTTTCATTTTTTTGCATGTATCTGTCCAATTTTCCCAACCCCATTTATTGAAGAGACTGTCTTGACTCCATTGTATGTTCTTGCCTCCTTTGTCAAATATTAATTGAGCATATTGGTTCGGGTCGATTTCTGGGCTCTCTATTCTATTCCATTGATCTATATGTCTGTTCTTGTGCCAGTACCAGGCAGTTTTGAGAACAGTGACTTTGTAATACAGCTTGATATCAGGTATTGAGATCCCACCTACTTTGTTCTTCTTTCTCAGGATCGCTGCAGCTATTCAGGGTCTTTTTTTATTCCAGATGAATTTCTGGAGAGTTCGTTCTAGGTCTGTGAAATATGCCGTTGGTATTTTAATGGGAAGTGCGTTGAATTTATAGATTGCTTTGAGTAGTATGGACGTTTTAATGATGTTGATTCTACCAGTCCATGAACATGGTATGTTCTTCCATCTGTTTATGTCTTCCTCTATCTCTTTTTTCAACGTCCTGTAGTTTTCTGAGTAGAGGTCTTTTACCTCTTTAGTTAAGTTTATTCCTAGGTAGCTTAATTTTTTTGGTGCGATGGTAAATGGGATTGCTTTTTTCAGTCTCTCTTTCTGTAAATTCACTATTGCTGTATAGAAATGCCATAGATTTCTTGGCGTTAATTTTGTATCCTGCTACATTGCCGAATTCATTTATTAAGTCTAATAGTTTTTTGATGGAGTCTTTATGGTTTTTTATGTACAATATCATGTCATCTGCGAATAAGGACAGTTTTACTTCCTCTTTTCCAATTTGGATGCCTTTTATTTCTTCTTGTTGTCTAATTGCAATGGCTAGTACTTCCAGTACTATGTCGAAC